TAGCTAAATGGGTGGCTACAGCTTAACATCGTGGAGGACGAGGGGCTGCGTTAGATATCGCATCCAACGTGTCGACTGCACATCACAGCACATTATTTTGACCCACAGTGGGAACTTCAGTCTCATGCTTTGACTGAACATGAAGACAGAGGAGCGGCATTTCGCCGACAACTGTAAACAGGCTTGTCTGTTTGAGCAACTGGCTTAGTGCAAAGAAGTACACAGGGTTGGGAGAGAGTGTGAGAGAGAGAGAGAGTGTAAGAGTGTAAGAGAGAGAGAGTGTAAGAGAGAGAGAGAGAGAGAGAGAGAGAGAGAGAGTGTAAGAGAGAGAGAGTGTAAGAGAGAGAGAGAGAGAGAGTGTAAGAGAGAGAGAGAGTGTAAGAGAGAGAGAGAGAGAGTGCAAGAGAGAGAGAAACTTTCACGGAATTCATAAACCACCAAAACCTGATCAATAATCAAAAACATCACACACACACACACACACACACACACACACACACACACACACACACACACACACACACACACACACACACACACACACACACACACACACACACACACACACACACACACACACACACACACACACACACACACACACACCACACACGACACACACACACACTCACACCACACACCACACACACACACATCGACACACACACACACACACACACACACACACACACACACACACACACACACACACACACACACACACACACACACACTTACATGTTGGCAGGGTGGACAGAACCACTGTCCGTCTGGAATCAACATGAGCGGCGGCCGCAGACAAGCGGTGTGGTACCCACTGTCACAGGAGTCACACAGCAGGATCTGAGGACACACACACACACACACACACATATATATATTATCATATATATAATGATAGATAATATATAGTATATATATATATTATATATATACTATATAGTATATATATATATAGTATATAATTACTATATATATATATAGTTATATATATATACACACACTCAGGGACAACTCTTTGAATTGATATAAACCACTATATAAACTACTCTTAATTCTATGATGGGTAAATGATGCGGCTACATTTCACTGTGTGTGGTGCTGTAGACATGTGTAGCAAATGACTATGGATTGGATTCAAATTGGATTTGAATTCATTTCAATTTCCTATTTTACTTTGTTGAAGAACAAACAGCCAGGCCTTCACACGGCCTAATAACACTGGAGCCAGTGCTGGAAGTAACCCTGGATCCAACCCTTCATGATCCATCATCATATATCCAGAAAAGATGGCTGACTTCTTCTGTTGACAGCCTGTCCAATGTGACAATTTGCTGGATCTGCTTATTGCAAATTCATTATTGTTCAGGCTTTTCATGTTGGTCTTCTTTATAGACAGGGATTAGAAACTCCAGTCAACAGGCCCCTTGTGTATTTATAGTGTTACATATCGTTTCATGCAGTTTTACAACGTGTTCTCTCTATGCAAAGCACAGGGCCTCACTACTGTGACACTGAACTCCCTCTGAGACTCTGTGACCCCCTCTGAGACCCCCTCTGTGACCCCCTCTGAGACCCCCTCTGAGACTCTGTGACCCCCTCTGTGACCCCCTCTGTGACCCCCTCTGAGACCCCCTCTGTGACCCCCTCTGTGACCCCCTCTTGAGACTCCCTCTGTGACCCCCTCTGAGACCCCCTCTGAGACTCCCTCTGAGACTCCCTCTGAGACCCCTCTGAGACCCCCTCTGAGACTCCCTCTGAGACTCCCTCTGAGACCCCCTCTGAGACTCCCTCTGAGACCCCCTCTGAGACTCTGTGACTCCCTCTGAGACCCCCTCTGAGACTCTGTGACTCCCTCTGTGACTCCCTCTGAGACCCCCTCTGAGACCCCCTCTGTGACTCTGTGACTCCCTCTGTGACTCCCTCTAAGACCCCCTCTGAGACTCCCTCTGAGACCCCCTCTGAGACTCCCTCTGTGACTCCCTCTGTGACTCCCTCTGAGACTCCCTCTGAGACCCCCTCTGAGACTCTGTGACTCCCTCTGTGACTCCCTCTGAGACCCCCTCTGAGACTCCCTCTGAGACTCCCTTTGAGACCCCCTCTGAGACTCCCTCTGTGACTCCCTCTGAGACCCCCTCTTGAGACTCCCTCTGTGACTCCCTCTGAGACCCCCTCTTGAGACCCCCTCTGAGACCCCCTCTGAGACTCTGTGACCCCCTCTGAGACCCCCTCTGAGACCCCCTCTGAGACTCTGTGACCCCCTCTGAGACCCCCTCTGAGACTCTGTGACTCCCTCTGTGACTCCCTCTGAGACCCCCTCTGAGACCCCCTCTGAGACCCCCTCTGAGACTCTGTGACTCCCTCTGAGACCCCCTCTGAGACTCTGTGACTCCCTCTGTGACTCCCTCTGAGACCCCCTCTGAGACCCCCTCTGAGACTCTGTGACTCCCTCTGTGACTCCCTCTGAGACCCCCTCTGAGACCCCCTCTGAGACTCTGTGACTCCCTCTGTGACTCCCTCTGAGACCCCCTCTGAGACCCCCTCTGAGACCCCCTCTGAGACTCTGTGACCCCCTCTGAGACCCCCTCTGAGACTCTGTGACCCCCTCTGAGACTCCCTCTGAGACCCCCTCTTGAGACTCTGTGACTCCCTCTGAGACCCCCTCTGAGACCCCCTCTGAGACCCCCTCTGAGACTCTGTGACCCCCTCTGAGACTCTGTGACTCCCTCTGAGACCCCCTCTGAGACTCTGTGACTCCCTCTGAGACCCCCTCTGAGACCCCCTCTTGAGACTCCCTCTGTGACCCCCTCTGAGACCCCCTCTTGAGACTCCCTCTGAGACCCCCTCTGAGACTCTGTGACTCCCTCTGAGACCCCCTCTGAGACTCCCTCTGTGACTCCCTCTGAGACCCCCTCTGAGACCCCCTCTGAGACTCCCTCTGAGACTCCCTCTGAGACCCCCTCTTGAGACTCCCTCTGAGACCCCCTCTGAGACTCCCTCTGAGACTCTGTGACCCCCTCTGAGACTCTGTGACTCCCTCTGAGACCCCCTCTGAGACTCCCTCTGAGACTCTGTGACCCCCTCTGAGACTCTGTGACTCCCTCTGAGACCCCCTCTGAGACCCCCTCTTGAGACTCCCTCTGTGACTCCCTCTGAGACTCTGTGACTCCCTCTGAGACCCCCTCTGAGACTCCCTCTGAGACTCCCTCTGAGACCCCCTCTGAGACCCCCTCTGTGACTCCCTCTGTGACCCCCTCTGAGACCCCCTCTGTGACCCCCTCTGTGACTCCCTCTGAGACCCCCTCTGAGACTCCCTCTGAGACCCCCTCTGAGACCCCCTCTGTGACTCCCTCTGTGACCCCCTCTGAGACCCCCTCTGAGACCCCCTCTGTGACTCCCTCTGTGACCCCCTCTGAGACCCCCTCTGTGACCCCCTCTGAGACTCCCTCTGAGACTCTGTGACCCCCTCTGAGACCCCCTCTGAGACTCTGAGACCCCCTCTGTGACCCCCTCTGAGACTCCCTCTGAGACTCTGTGACCCCCTCTGTGACCCCCTCTGAGACTCCCTCTGAGACTCTGTGACCCCCTCTGTGACCCCCTCTGAGACTCCCTCTGAGACTCTGTGACCCCCTCTGAGACCCCCTCTGAGACTCTGAGACCCCCTCACCAGTTCCGGGTGGTTGGGCAGTCCGCAGTGACTGCAGGCGTCCTCACTGGGAAGCTCCTCTGATTTACACAATTCCTCAGAATCGCTCCCTTCTTCACTCTCCCCCTCTCCTCGTTCCCTCCCTCTGTCCTCCACCTCCTCTCCCTCGTTCACTTTGCGTTTCTTAACACGGGTGTTGGACCAGCGGGGGCGCCGGTGCCTCCGTTTACCCTGAACATGAGAGAGAGAATTAAACAAATGAAAACCGAGCAAAGAAACCCCAAGTAGATGTTCATTCTCACAAAGCACACGAACACAATTACCCGTCGTTTCCTTATTTGCCCAACGGGTTCCTTTTTTCCGTCTTTCTTTGTCGTTAAGCTCTGCTCCTCTTCATCTTCCTCCTCTTCCTCCTCCTCCCCCCCTTCCTCCCTCATTCTGTTAGAGAGTGCCTGTGTTTTTGTAGGTTTCTTTCTCTGGCTCTCCTCAGCCTTGGAGCTTGGCCTGCAGTTTGGCAAAGCAGATGATCTTCAAGAAGAAAAGTAGAGATGGACTGAATTTATTGTCAAAATCAAACTAGTTGCATCTGATACAGAAAACAAGCAGCAAGTTCATTCTGGAGATTTAGGAAGGGGTCGCTAGTGACCGGAATGTGCTATATCAAAAGAAAGCAACACATGTATGTAACCCGCTCTCAGTGGGGGGGGGCAGACATGAGGTTCATAGATACTGGAACATACAGACTTTTGTGAACAACAGCTTTTACCTTTAAGAACAGCTGGGTAAGCTGTATTATATGTATAGCTCTAAGACAGACAGGAAATGGCATCCATCAGGTCGGACCACCCCTCTAATCAAACCCACACCTTTATGGAGGGTATTCAACACGTACCTGCAGATCCTGGAGGATCTCCTGAGCATCCTCCCTTCATCTTGCACCTCCTCCTCCTCCCTCTCTTTCTGCCCCTCCTTTCCCCCTTTCCCCCTCAGCTTGCTCCTGCGATGGGGGGGGATCTTGATTTTCAGCCTGATTCCTTCTTTCTGGAGCTCAGAGGAGGCTTCCTCCAGGGGACCCTGCCTCTCCCCTGATGCAAGCCCAGTGTCCTTCACCCTGACCTGGGCAGCCGACCCACAATTGACCCCCCCTCCCTGCTGCTCCTTTTTCTCCTCCTGGTCAACTGTTCTCAGAGTGTGAGAGATGCTCTCGGGCTCTGCCTCCACCTTTGCTAAAGAGCTTTGACTTTTGTCCTGGTCATCTTTACTCCCTCCTTCTTCCACAGGGCATCCAGACACACCCCCCCCCTCCCTCTCCTCCCTCTCCTCACTGCTGTGTCCAGTCTTCCTCTCCCTGTGTAGCTGCTCCTCAGTTACTTGTTGACCCTGGTCCTCTGCAGTGTGTCCCTGAGGGTCCTCTGAGGGCAGGGACAGTGAGGAGGGGCTCTCTGCAGCGTCAGGCAGAGGAACACATTTCAGGGATGGCAGCGGCGGGTTCCTGGTTGTCTGAGTGTCCATGGCTGCAGGAGCAGGAGCAGGAGCAGGAGGAGGAGCGCTGGCTGCTGCTGTCATCGTCTCCCCCTCAGCAGCCCCCTTCCTCACCAGCACTGACTGCCGGCTCACCTCCCTGTCTTCCCCCCCCCCGCTGGTCTGAACTGGGCCCGTTTAGTTCCTGCTGCTCAGCCCCGGAGGCTCTATGGCGCTCCAGCGGGCTGCGGATGACTCCTACATGACCTATAACGCCGACCTGACCTATGACCCCTATGACTCCATTGTGACCCTCTTTGTGGGGCGGGGGCATAGGGGCCCTTCCGTTGCTCAGTTCTGGACTTGATGCAGTGACCAGGAGCTGCTGCGAGGGGGGGGGGGGCAGCAGGCAGCTTCCCCTCCTTGGCCTGGATGACGGAGGGGTTGCACACGATGATGCTGCTGTTCTTCAGGTGGTTACTGAAGCTCTCCGCCAGCTTCAGCTCCCTCTTCTTCAGTGGTATCTTGGCCTGCTCGCTGCGAGTGACCACAGCCCGCTCCACTTCCTCCTCCTTGTTAACTTCCTGCTTTGTCACAGTCGCACCTGGTGCCATGACAACCGACACAGCATTTTTTGGATTGTCAGTGTCCCTGGATTCTGATTTGATGACGGTGGTTATGGTGCTCACGCGGTTGTCAAAGACAGGTGATGATATGTGTTCTGTCTTCTCTTCCTTCACCTCAGTGTTCCCCAGCTGGGGGTGCTCCAGCTTTATCACTGCACACAGAGAAGAGAACACATTAACAAGCGTAACGACAGCCAGAGAGGGATAGAGTACCATTAAAGACAATGTTCTATTCCTCCTGAAACAAAGCATACAGGTGAACAGAGAGACTTGATCCAGGTACCTTCTGTTAGGTGTTCCTCTGCCTTTACAAGGTCAGTGTGTTCCTCTGGGGTCAGGGTGCTTCCAGCAGCCTCACCAACTGAAACACACACACACACACACACACACACACACACACACACACACACACACACACACACACACACACACACACACACACACACACACACACACACACACACACACACACACACACACACACACACACACACACACACACACACACACACACACACACACACACACACACACAACACACACACACACACACACACACACACACACACACACACACACACAACACACACACACACACACACACACACACACACACACACACACACACACACACACACACACACACACACACACACACACACACACACACACACACACACACACACACACACACACACACACACACACACACACACACACACACACACACACACACACACACACACACATCAGTATTCCCTGCCTAAATGTGATTTCAGTCATTGGAGGAGGTCATGTGTTTGTCAGCAGGATTATGAAGAAACTACTGCAGCACATTTCGGGAAACTCTGTAAAAGGGTGTAGCACGGGCCAAGGACAACAATATGTAATTGTGTTCACCTGAATGAAATGGCAGACACACATTCATTTCACTTTGAACTCTTAACTGCTGTATACACACGCACATCTCAACAGGGTTTTGGCTAACATGGAGGAGAGGAGAAAACCCTTTTGGTAACAACTTTATATATTCTCTCTCAGTAATACTCCTATGATCTAAACAAGTAATATCTCCTCATTCACCTGCACCTGTCTGTGTGGGGCTGGCGCTCCTATCCAGGTCCTGGTTCTGGTCCTGGTCCTGACTCTGTTTGGGTTCAACCTGGCCCTTTAGCAGCTCCAAAGCCTCCGCCAGGTCGGTGCGGTTCCTGAGAACACAGTTTGGACAAGCGGCTCAAAAAAGATAACAACAGGGCAGCAGGATGTGACATGACGCTGCACAGTGTGAGGAGACTGCTTTAAGATGGCCTTAAAGGAATACTTCATATAACAGTGCAGATTACTTCACCAACTTTAGACGTCACTCCAAAAATAACACATTTTACATAAATGACTCAACTTTGTCTTTCTCTCAAAGAATCAAAAAATTGAGAAACTTGATGAATTTAAGTAAATGGTGGCCACGAACATCAAGAGACCTAGAGTTAGAGTTTATGTGGAAGTTTTTTTCAAGTAACTTGTGAACCAAGTGAGTGAGACGTACGACTGCATGAGACCTGGGTATTACTGCACAAGTTGTGGGAGAATTTGTAAATAGATGTTTAGATATCGTTTTTTTTTTTATTATAATTGCGAAAAAAGTAAGTATAGCTGTGCGTGCAGCCTGAGACATGTGAGACAGTGATACCTGACGATGCACTTCCAGGTGGAGCCGTCCAGGTCGTCCTGCTCCTCCGTGTACAGGCGGATGTTCTGCTCAGGGTCCAGCTGCAGCCAGTACATCAGGCCCTGCTGGTCCCGGCCTATCGGCTGGAGGCGCATCTTCTCTGGGTCCTCCTCATTGATCGCCATCTTGAACTTCAGGTTGTCATCAAACTGACACTCGCAGAGATACTGATGGAGAGAAGGTGGAGGACATCAATGTGTTATTGCATTGACTGCAGATGTTTAGACTTTTAGTTACACTTGTTGCATTGACTAAAAACCAGGAATGTCATACTTTTAGGATGCATGACTTGCACTCCATGGACATCTCCTGGTAGCCCTTCTGTTCCAGCTCCCAGGCCCAGGTGCTGTTCAGCTCCTGGCACACCTACAGGAACACACGGTAAGGATATGGTTAGGGTATGGTTAGGGTATGGTCAGTACGGACAGGGCGGAACACAGGATCTGTTTCATCTCTCAAGTCTCCATCTGTTGACCACTGCAGCAAGGCTCTACAGTTAGGTGGATGTTCAATTTACTTGCATACAGTTTCTGTACAAAATACACATTTGTTATCTTCCTATAATAACTGCATTCCATCTCCACAAACAAACACTCTATCCTTCCTACACAACTACTTTAGTTGTAGGCTGTGGTCACAGGTAAGGAAACTTGAGAGGGATAGTTTAGATGTTTTGAAGTGGGGGTGTATTTACATACAGTAAATGTTGATCTCCTCTTTGGTGAAGCAGACAGGGTACAGGGTTCTACATTTGTGTTTCTTTTCAAGGGCAACTTTATGAGCTGAAGTGAAAGTGGGTAGTTTGTTGAGTGAGCAAAACTCCAGATGTATTTACTTGACTTGTTATTTGATTAACCGCTAATAAAGAAATATGTCCAAAAGGGACATCTGAAGGCAAGGGGAAACGGTGAAAAGCACAACATGTCTTATCTTCTGTGCTGGTATTCCTGTCTGCTTCTCCAAACTGGGGTCGTTCGGATCGCAGGTTACTCTAGCTAATCTCTAGCTAATCTCTGACTGAGGATATTTAGCTCATTCAACCCCACTTCAAAACATCTCAGCTATCCCTTTAAGATGCAGCAAGCACCCTCCATCAGAGACAGCTCCCTCACTGATGGCTGAACCTGTTTAATCATGTCAAGTGCAGTTGTAAATCTAAAGCTAAACTCCGTACACACACACACACACACACCAACGCCTCACCTTAGCCAGGTATTTCTCCCAGCGGTCAGTGGTCACAGACCTCCCCAGTTTTCTGAGCAGCTTCACGTGGAGCTCCACCAGGGGTTTAGGAACTGGAAACACACAGGATGATTAGAAACATAATACTGTGCATTTCTTTTATGAGGTATGTAACCACGCTCATAACCAAAGAGAAAGTAAGTGATTTCATCTTTAACTTGGTTCTGGATTCTAAATACTTCTTATGATGAAAATCAGATTTGTAACAACAGATTCAACAGTAACACTTATTAGACTTTTTTTATTTTTATTTCTTTCAGCAGTTTTTGGAAAACAGTAATCCAGTGATGAATGGATAAAAAGGAATTTGACACTCTGTATGATTCCTATCATGACAGCGGGTGTTCTTACAGACTCAAAGCCCTTATGTCGTACTGTAATCTTTGAGCGCTTATCAGCCAGTTTATCAGTGCTTTATAAAAGCTTTGGGATAAGCATTACAAACAGACACTTTTGCCCATGTGTTCTCTGCACTGACACTGTCTTTATTTACTTTTTGTGCATTATAAGTATCATTTATATAGCTGGTGGCTCATGAGTGTGATGCTGGGTCAACAAAGGTTTACTGTGCACAGGATCTCACAGCTAAATGTTTCATTTCCAGGTAAACATGTATCACTCTGCCATGTACACTGTAGGTAGTTTTGTTAAAATAAATGCAAATAGTTTGTAATTGTTTTATAAAATGATAATTGTCCAGGTATCAATAAATCAACCCATCAGGGTCATTTGTCCCACTTCCGAAAAAAGATTATAATTCCTTCCCTTTTTAATAACTCTTTAAATAATGCCAACTAAAATGATTTATTTTACATTTTGGCAGATTCAAAAATATATTTTATTAGAAACATTTGTTTCCTGGTGAATGATTTATTGATAAGATGAAATGCCTAAAGAAAAAGCCTGACATTAACATGAACCTCATCGCTTTAAAGTACTCTCTACTCTGCAGGAGATTTGGGGATTGTACTTAGTGACATTTCATTTTAGAAGACCCCTCACACCCCATTCATTTGTCTTCATTATTTATTTGAGCTATTCTGCTATATATTTTTTTCAAGATGAAAGAAATAGTTGTGTCATTATGCATGTCCTGGTTATTATTGTCATGATACTGTAAACAACTGGCATTTATTACCAGGTCAATAACTAAAATCACAGCCTCGGAGCATTGCATCAACAACCTCACTGTGTGGTCTGTGTGAGGCTGTTAGGATACCATGAATTTACAGGAAATTCCAGTTCTCTCTGTAGCGCACGTTTTCTAGGCTAAAAAAAAGACAACAATTCAGTGTCAGGAGAAAACGCAGTTAATCAGACCAGAGTCTAGAACGTAATGTGATTATTGTAGCTCACTAAAGAATGTTAGCAACTATGTCTGACTTAATGCTGTAACGTTATGGAAAGTGAGGGCTTACGTTAAGCAACATAACTAACGGTAACTGAAAACTGTCCCGCTGTGAGGGCTAACACGGTTTGTAGAGACACACACATCACAACTACACGCCTCAGGCATCTCCGTCTTATCCTCAATCACGTCCTCAGTTAACTGAAGGGCTCCGTGTTGTACTTTGGCTAAAAGTTGACGAACTCATCGATGCTAACTAGTTAGCCAGTAGCCAGTCACCATTGCGCATGCGCACACTTGACAGCCTCTCCACCAATGCCTCAAAAATAACATCCCCTGTGTTCAGCTGTGGCTCAGTTCTGGCAGCCGTCTTAAAAGACAGATCCAATTGAAGAAGTATCACTACCAGCACAATAATGACGTCCAGTCCGACTGCCTGTGAGGCAAGGCCGGGGGGAAATAACACCTGACAACCCTCCGCAGCTAGCTGTGTCTGTGTGTGGTCACTAGGCAGTGCTGCATCATGGCTCCCACACCGTCCAGCGTTCACTGATCAATACACAACATTATCGACGATCTGTCACTTGACTCCAACTAAACCCACGGGGATAGCTAGCAAAACTGTTTTACTTCCGCCTGTATCCCTGACTGTAGCACAACATAGCCCTGAGTGTTTGGGATGTGGATTGGGTTAGCTGTGTGTTAGCAGTCTGCGTTGTCTCTGTCCAAATATTTACTCAGAAACTTGGACAAAAACTGGTTCTCTTTCGAGGAAAACTGAGTCTGACCCGGGCCAAAAGGTGCCACAGAGCGTAGCTGCTCGCTGATCTAATGGTGCCTGCCGGGGGGGCACTATCTACATTTTCCACATCCTCCTCATCACGGTGGTGATGGTGATGGTGGTGGACCCCTTCTCCTTCGGTTTCAAGTGTCGCAGCTTTCTACCACTACTTCGCCCCACCACCGATCTCTCACCTGTCGTTGTGTCCCGCAGATATCTCTCCATCTGCGGGAAAGTCATCTCGGGCAGGTCCAGCACTGCTCCGTACCGCTCCAGGAACGAACAGACCTCCGCGAAGCTCGGGCAGAGCGGCGGGCCGGAGCTTCTCAGCAGCACCGGAGCAGCCATCTTTCCAGGCGGAGAGAAACAGGAGGGGAGGGCGCTGCTGGGATGCGACTGTGTGTGCGAATGAAATGAATGGAGGGGGTGAAGCGGCATCTACCGGGATCAAGCGGGACAACACGGTAGCATGCTGCTTCCGGTTAGGATTTTCAAATTACCGCCTAGTTCTGGATTCGGTAAACAGAAAACTTAACAAGATGGACATTTACACAAGTTTCTCACACTATTTCAAAATCATTTTAATGTGTCAGAGAGTGTAGTTTCAATATGTTTAGTGTCATCCTTTGTTGACTCCCATAAAACCGTGTTTTCTCACAGTGGAGTGGGGGAATTCAATTGTTTAAATGATCGTGATGTCTTTTATTCCCCAAACTGTTTTATGCTTTGAAGATTGCTATTTTTTAAATCTAAAATATGTATTAACTATTATTAAATTATTATTTAAAAATATTCTGAAAGTTGAAATTATACGTTTTCTCTGGATTTGCCTTTAATATTTTTGTTTTAAAAATATGCGGCGCACCTATGCGGTAACACTGGGCATCATGTATTGCTTGCGACTAATTTAACTAAAGTAAATTACATAGTTTTTATTATTGTAGGGATGGTCAAGTTTGAGTTCAAACACATGCATTAAAGTCATATTTTCCGTCTTGAAAGGGGCCTCGACTGTAAAATAATAAACTACTATTGAGAACCTCTGCCCTCATGTACTTCATTGTGGACACACAACCCTTATCTTCCGGTAACACTGGGCATCACGTGCGCGAGCTTGACGCAGCTGGGAGAAGTTGGGAGGACCATGGAGGGTATAGAGAGAAATGCCCAGAATTCACCGCGATAGAGACACATTAAAACCATTTCAAAATGGTTTTTGGTTTTTGCTCCTCAAACGATTCCAAAATAGCTCAATATTTGGCCTCAGTCCTCAACACACATTAGTGACCAAACGTAGGTGTGAACAAAAGCATAAAAACTGAGCTGCATCTCGTGTGATTTCTTTTTATAATTAAAGCTTTTTATTTATTTATGTTCAAATGGTTGGACCAAATGGTCTGTTCTGTAGGAGCTCAGCACCACTGCATGCTGCGTAGACAAGTCATGCTGCCCTGGAGCATGCTGCCTTTACGGACTGTTGGAAATATTTGCACGTCAGAGGGATTTTAGACACAGTTAAGTACACATGTGCTTGCAGTTAACATGTTTTTTGTCATAAGAGCTCTATTTAAAGGTGGGGTAGGTAAGTTTGAGAAACCGGCTCGAGATACACTTTATGTTATATTCCATGGAATGCTCTTAACATCCCGATAGCAATGAATATCTTAAGTGCTTTGACAAAAAATCCATAAAAAAATGTCATCTGTGGAAGCCGTAATACTGTAAAAAGCACGACCAATCATTTTAGCCGGCCCGGCTAAAGTAACTGGATGGCCTACCTGCCTGTCAGCCTTCCACCTGTGCACAAACTTATCTCGTGCCCTCATTGGTCATGTGCGCGTTCGTGTGTGTTGGAGGAGGGGCTCTGTAAGGAAGTGGGAGATTTTTTCCGGCTGTGTATTTTCAAATTCTAGCACACTCAAGCTGGTTTCTCCAAAATGACCTACCCCACCTTTAATAAGACAGTCTCTTAAAAAAAATTCATAAATAAGTTAACATTTTCGATTGCTTGGGGATTCTTTCCTTCCGTGATCTTCCTGTAGGGAGGGACGACCCTGGTTCCATGCCTCTCAATTAAATAGCGCCTGGATGGACCTGGAAAGGCATTATGCAAATAATATATGTTTATGTTAATTGTGACAGTCCTCTTCCACTATGGCAAGGCTTCATAAACCTAATAACACACTGATTCATTCTATGAGCTGCAAATAGAAACATGCTCCCACGATGAGGATCAAAGATGTTCTCCTCCTGAGACATGACATAAGACTGACTGCCTTCATTAATTATGTAGAGGCTAGGTAATAGCATACTTATAACCTTTATTTTTTGCTGCTATGACTCATTTATACCTAATATTAGAAGTCAAGTCGTTTTGCACCGTGGTTAATATTATTACGGAATACTTTCTTAATGTGTCCTGTTGTTTTTTCAGTGTGTCTGTGTATTTGAAATCTATACAGTTTTTTTATAATATAACAGCTCAGTTGACACAAAGCTTTGTTATTTTTTGTATTGATTTCCTGATTGCATTTCAACCTTTTATGTTTGGTAATGAAATATGATTATTAAGTCATTATTTGCTATGGTCAGTGGTGGAATGTAAGTAAACTATTATCTACTATCTATACGCAACGACCAAACGAGTACAATATCTAGGTACTTGTACTAGTAGTTCCAATGTATGCAACTTTATTCCTCTATTGCACTACACTGGCAATAGACTATATCAAGTCTTTAAAGTAGCCCAAACTTTACCAGCTGCAACATTAAAGTGATGAACACATTATTGCAACAATAATTATAATCCTATGATAGAATAGAATATTCTGAAATTCTACTAAATTAGTATTTACTTTTGTACTTTACTTTTTGAATGGAGGACTTTCTTTGCAGTATTGCTCTTTTTACTTAACCAACAGATCTAAACACTTCCTCACTGCTGACCAGTGGCGTAACTATCGACGGAGCAGCCGGTGCAACGCACCGGGGCCCAGAGCCGGCCAGGGGCCCATGCAAATATATATATATATTTTTTTTAATTCAATGGCATTGACCGGTTCAAGCAGTCTTCAAAGTAACCAAGCAACCTACATTAATTTGTAAGTTGTCTGTCCAATGACCTTGCTCCCTTTCATGACATGTGATACCTTGCGTGACAAGCGAACCGTTTAATCAACCTGTACTGTACTGTAGCTAGCAGCACCAAGTTCGGCAGCATTATAAAAAATGTAATAGCTTGCATTTATAATGTACAGCAAACCAAAGCACAAGAGCAGCGCTCAAAAGAGAAAGGACAAGAGAGAACAAGGAGATGTAACAGCTAAACTGACAAAATTAGATTATTTTTGTCATACATCGTCCTCGAAATCGAGCGCTAACGTTAGCAATGTTGACGTGCAGCGGCAGCCAGAGCCGGAGGCTAACAATAGCTCACCTGCCTCACCACCATCATTGCCATCTAGCTCCACAAGTGAAGCTGTATCCGCCAGGAGGAGAGGCTGGATTTGGCTGTGCCTGGCGGTGGTCCAACAGTTCCCCCAAGGGCCCCAACCGATAGGGGATTCTATGGCGCTATTGAGACCCCCGACGCCAAGATCAAAAGCTACCAGTCTATGTAGGCCTACCGGCCCATTCCCCAGAGACAGACATCAAGGAAACAGGTTTAATCCTCTTCTTAGTTCGCTGTGCCGTTGTCAGGCTGTGGTGGTCTGAGACCAGGGCAGGCTGTTGTTGATAGCCTACATGTGGCGCAACGGAGTGGTTGTGTATGTCCGTGTGTGTGTGAGCGCATCAGTGTGTGCTTATGTTTGGGGGGATGGGGGGGCGGGCCCCAAAACAATATTTGCACCGGGGCCAATCACAACCTTGTTACGCCAGTGGTCAGCCTCACACACACACACACACACACACACACACACACACACACACACACACACACACACACACACACACACCTGAGAGACTGCGCTGACGGATGTCACAACATGAAATAACACCTCTTCGCAGTCAACATTCATCAGGATTGGCAACTAGCTGCACTCTACTTTCAGAAAACCAACATCACATTTCTCTCTCCGTTATGGATCTTCACTACAATTCAAACTATCAATTCAGAATACATTTGGGGGTTTGGCACTTTTCCCGTGACTAATCATCTGAAGAACCAGTTTGAGGCAAGATTTCTGTAGCCAGCAATCATAATGGGAATGTTAGGCGGACAAATACTTTATTATCCACCCATAATTTCTTAAACGACCGTTAACAAGTGTGATGTATTCCATTATTGCCAGCTCTTCCTTATGGCTCATGGCTACAGAGAGTGCAGAAGTGAGATTTACAATTGGTAGGTTGGATCTAGAGGAATAGTTTAACCTTTTGTGAATTACGCTCATTTGTATTCATGTTTCGGAGTTAGAGGTGAATCGAGGAAGCTGCAGGGATGACAATGTTGACAGTTATAAACAAAAGTGTTGTAATGTAACTACATGCATTTACTCAAACAAATGGGGTACGTGTTCTTTATTTGAGTATTTTCACATTAAAGGTGGGGTAGGTAAGTTTGAGAAACCGGCTCGAGATACACTTTTTGTTATATTCCATGGAATGCTCTTAACATCCCGATAGCAATGAATATCTTAAGTGCTTTGACAAAAAATCCATTAAAAAATGTCATCTGTGGAAGCCGTGGTACTGTAAAAAGCACGACCAATCATTTTAGCCGGCCCGGCTAAAATAACTGGATGGCCTACCTGCCTGTCAGCCTTCCATCTGTGCACAAACTTATCTCGTGCCCTCATTGGTCATGTGCGCGTTCGTGTGTGTTGGAGAAGGGGCTCTATAAGGAAGTGGCAGATTTTCTCCGGTTGTGTATTTTCAAATTCTAGCGATCTCGAGCCGGTTTCTCGAACTTACCTTCCCTACCTTTAAGCTACTTTATATTTTACTCCACTACATTTTGTTGGCAAATGTTGTACCACTACTTACAACTACTTTTGTTTTACATATTTAGTTACAAGTTACTTTGCAGATTTCGGTTATTAATAACAAGTTCAATCTCCACACATTATTATATACGATTATAGGTTAAAGGTAGGGTAGGTAAGTTTGAGAAAACGGCTCGAGATACACTTTTTGTTATATTCCATGGAATGCTCTTAACATCCCGATAGCAATGAATATCTTAAGTGCTTTGACAAAAAATCCATACAAAAATTTCATCTGTGGAAGCCGTAATACTGTAAAAAGCACGACCAATCATTTTAGCCGGCCCGGCTAAAATAACTGGATGGCCTACCTGCCTGTCAGCCTTCCATCTGTGCACAAACTTATCTCGTGCCCTCATTGGTCATGTGCGCGTTCGTGTGTGTTGGAGGAGGGGCTCTATAAGGAAGTGGCAGATTTTCTCCGGTTGTGTATTTTCAAATTCTAGCGATCTCGAGCCGGTTTCTCAAACTTACCTACCCCACCTTTAAGCTACACGGAAGTGTTTGAAATATTTCAAATAAAACCCACTTTTACCCAGTTCAAAGGGAAGAGATGAACAAATAAATGCACCAATAATTGTAATAAAACGACCTTTACTTGTTACTGAGTATTTGTACACTGTAGTATTACACAGTAGCTACTTTTACTTTAGAAAATAATGGAGTATTTATTCCACCTTTGATAAACACAATCTCAAAATGTGACAAATCACAAACTCCCGAGCTCCATACAAAGGCGTCATCGCAACTGTGAAATCAGAGCGGTGCATATGCACTTGAACGCATCTGTTTTTAAGGGGACGGAAGGAGCGCTGTACAGGAAACACTTTCAGTAGAGCTGCTGGATGTGGAGCTTGATGTGGAGCCGCGGAGGACTGCTGGAATCAGGCACAAGTTATCTGAGCTGCCGCTGACAGCCATGATACTTTAACACACACACTGAGCGGGAGAAGGTCGGTAACGTTCGGTAAGTTCAAGTTCAGTATTTCGTTTAATATGAAATATAATAAGCGAACGTCAGTATTCGTTATTAGCGGGAGTGTGTTGTGCTCTGAAGAGAGGCGGTGTGGAGAGGTGAAGTGAGGTCAGCTAACTGCCGGGGATGAAGTCTCTGCTCAACGTCAGACTGCCTTCCACAACAATGATTCCGTGGTGGAAAGTAACTAAGTACATTTACTCAAGAACACTGCTAAAGTACAATTTTGAGGGATTTGTACTTGACTATTTACATTTGTTGCTACGTTGTTCTTTTACTTTATTATTCAGAGGTAAATCTTTTACTTTTACTCCACTACATGTATTTAATACCTTTAGTTACTTTACAGATCTGGATTAATGATGTGAAATGGAAAGGTTTATGTCAACTAAAAACAATATACACGTTCCTCTAGAATGATAATGCATTAGTAGATTGTAAAAGAGGAATTGTTACTGTTACTCAGAAGAGAATGATGGACTTTGTTACATTCCTTTTTCATTTCAAGATTACATGTGTACACCTTTTTCTTCCTTTACTTTAATTTAATGAAGGTGTTTATTTCAGAATCAGAATTCCTGACACAGTCCCACAGCGGGGAGGTGAACAGTGTTACAGCGACAAGTGGAAGAGCAGATCAAAAAAGGCATGCAATAATAAAAAAGAGGAAAAGCACACTTTAATAAAAATAAAGACAAATAGGAACACAACCATGGCTAGACAATGAGTAGTAACAATTTACAGTGACATAAATAACATATTAACGTAATCTTCTAAAAATGAAATGTTGGGACATTTATAAAAATGTATTAGTGTATTTCATAACGTTTTTAAACCAAACACCAGTATTCAAATGAATGTCTTATTCATTAGGGATGTTAGAGTTGCTTTAACAAGCAGTGACAGAACATTGGGTAAGAGACGGGTGATTAGAACTCTGTGCTCTGTGGCAGGTGAACTGTTTACTGGAGGCCTGCTTTGCATTCAAAGGAAAATGTGCTCTGGTGAAAGAGGAACATGTTGATATCCTAGCAGAATGAATGTAGACATCAGGTGCTTCTTGGTGTGTGTGCTCAGCTGTTAGTGTGTGCTGCAGGTGACAGAGCAGCGCTGAGATGGCCATCGCACACGTGGCTACAGAGTACGTGTTCAGCGATTTCCTGCTGAAGGACCCGACCCAGGCTCAATACCGCAGCGTCCGCACAGAGCTGGCGGTGGACAAGATGGTGACCTGTGTGGCCGTGGGCCTGCCCCTCCTGCTCATCTCTCTGGCCTTCGCTCAGGAGGTCTCCGTGGGTGAGTGGACCGCCGGGTCAGGACCACAGTCTGTTCTGGCTAGATTACTACTGTCTGAGTCGGGTTAGTCTTTGTAAACATGTTTTGGCCTTGGCTGTGTCCCGAGACTTTTCACACTCTTAATACACATATCTTGCTACCGCCTGTTCTCTAGCATTCGACAGACAGAAGGGTTCCACTGTGACCATTGTCAGGCAAATTATCCTACGGATGTCACCTGCTATAATTATCATGTCTTATTTCCCTTTGTTTCGCATTTCGGTAGGCTGAAATGTAAACGGTTTCTGTTTCTCTGTGTTTCTGTTTCTCTGTGTTTCTGTTTCTCTGTGTTTCTGTTTCTCTATATTTGTTCATTTCTTACCAGAAGGAGTTTAGTTGTGGAATGTAAAAGGTTAATCGTAAGGTTACATCTTAAAATCCTGACATCCTGAAGTGTCAAACCAATGAACAGCCTGATTCATTAACTTTGACAGTCTGCAGATTAATATGTTGAACTAACATTCCTGAAAAAACTCTGCCTCATTTCCTCATTTCAGTCAAATCACTGGTTCAATACGTTTGTGTTGTTGTCTGTCTCCGTGGTGCTCAGGGACCCAGATCAGCTGCTTCGCTCCCTCTAACTTCTCCTGGAGGCAGGCTGTGTATGTGGACTCGTACTGCTGGGCAACTGTGCACACACACACTCTACCTCTGTGGCTGCACAAGGTACACACACACACACACACACACATACTCTCTCTACCTCTGTGGCTGCACAAGGTACACACACACACAGCTTCAGCTGCTCAAACTTCTCAAATGGTGTGTTAAACATTAGTTTGATGTTTAAAATATGTCTTCACACGGGGGAAATGCTGTAAACACGCCTTCTACCGGAGGCCGTCAGGCAGCTGAACAGACAGACTCAGTAAACGTCATCAGGCAGTGCAGAAATGAAACGCATTAGAATGGTAAGTCATGCAGAGCTGCAAGGCCGAGCCGATCAACAGAAAAATAAGAGCCAATTTATTTGATAATTGATTAAGCTTTAAAGTATATTTTGATTCAAACATTGTTTCAGTCTCACATATAGAGATATCCTGCTCTCCTCTTCTTCTATCATATCAAACGTAATGCTTTTGGCATTTAAATACATCATCTTGGACTCCAGAAACGGCAATTGACATTTTCACTATTTTCTGACAGTTTATACACCAGACTATATATCTAGAATCAGCCAATACATGGAGAATGAAGTAACTTGCAGCTCGAATGTCCTGCTGCATGGACATAAGAACAGTCTGAAGGAAGTCCACTTGTTAACCTGGTTAAAGGTGGGGTAGGTAAGTTTGAGAAACCGGCTCGAGATACACTTTTTGTTATATTCCATGGAATGCTCTTAACATCCCGATAGCAATGAATATCTTAAGTGCTTTGACAATAAATCCATAAAAAAATGTCATGTGGAAGCCGTAGTACTGTAAAAAGTACAACCAATCATTTTAGCCGGCCCGGCTAAAATAACTGGATGGCCTACCTGCCTGTCAGCCTTCCATCTGTGCACAAACTTATCTCGTGCCCTCATTGGTCATGTGCGCGTTCGTGTGTGTTGGAGGAGGGGCTCTGTGAGGAAGTGGCAGATTTTCTCCGGTTGTGTATTTTCAAATTCTAGCGATCTCGAGCCGGTTTCTCAAACTTACCTACCCTACCTTTAAATTGTGAGAGTTTCATCAGTTGGTTAAATCATTCAAATGTCAGTTGTTTCCTGTATATTGTATGTTTCCTCGTATAGTGTATTTAATACATACAATACAGTAGGTTCAATTTACATTCTGCACTGACGACTTTAGTTGAGTCATTTCAGGGTGTGGTAGAGAACATGTATATTGAGATGTTTTTAGCCAAGAGGAACACAGGGCCATATTAGGCGTGTCTCTACATTCCTAAATGGATCTTTATGTTGTAACACTCGCAGCACTCAAACTAGAACAGCAACAACACACACGTGTTGTGTAGAGACAGATCTGGATCCACTGTGCAGCTTCTGTCACTCAGGTTACTGAAAGAGTCCTCTTCTTTTCTTCACACGCTATTTCAATCTGTCATTTCAAATAAGAACAAATGTCATTAAACCAAGAGGTTCAACTCGGGTCTAATGTTAAACTGCTGCTGTGTTTATTTACTCACAACAATTTCCTTAGGGATAAATCAAGTCCTATCTTATCTAAGCCTTTGACCCAACATGTTTTTAAAGTGGTCTTCATATTCAAATGAAGTTCTTGGCCATGAGCAGGTCGCATCACGTTGTGCTTGTTTCTGAACTCTTCCCTGAGGAAGTGAGATCACGTGTCAGCTAAAGAGAGGACAGAGACACTGTGCCTGATGAAGACTTTCAGCCATCTCACTTCCTGTCTCTCCTGTGCAGTTCTTCCCGTACATCCTGCTGCTGGTGGCGGTGCTCATGTACGTCCCGGCCCTCTTCTGGAGGTTCACTGCGGCCCCCCTCCTGCAGTCAGACCTCAGCTTCATCATGGAGGAGCTGGATCGCTGCTACAACCGCGCCGTCACTCTGGCCAAACGCCTGGCCACCGCAGGCCTGCTCGGCCCCGACAGGTAGAGAAACAGCTGGAGGCAGGTCAAAGGTCAGGCTGCAGCCGGCTCAGATAGAGCATTGCAGAAGAACAGTAGAAGCAAAGTGAAGAACAGAAACAGAAAGAAAATCCTGCATTTTATACACAGCTGGCACAGCGTCAAGAGCTCTGCTTTATCTACTTTCTGTATATTTTCTACTTTCTTGTTTATTTCTAGTCTTTTAAATTGTTTTGTACAAGGCCATGTCTTTTTATGCTGCTGCAACTCAAACATTTCCCAAATTGGGATCAATAAAGTACTATCTTATCTTATCATATGTTTCTCCAAAACACAGTTTATACTGTGAGATTATTGATTTACTTTTCCAACCCTCTGTTGCTGTTCACTTATCTGAAGGCAGCTTCACTTTCAGCCAGATGAGTGGTAGGAGTGTACTACGACAACATTTGATTTATTATTAATGTCACACTCAAAATTTGGTTTAAAACCTTGAAAAGTTTAAACCTCACTGTTTTATTTAAAGTGGACCTATCATGCTATATTATAATAATATAGTGTAGGACCATACCTATATAAGGCATATTTATACTTTTTTTTTTTCAAAATACCAAACAGATCATGCATTTTAGCCATGCCTCATTTTGCTCAATTTGACCATTTCTAGCTCTGTTTTTAGCAAGGGCTGATTCAGTGAGAACAGCACCACCTACTGGCCTGGCATATGTACTACAACGTCTCCAGCGGCAATGGCCGTGGCTGTCTCCTCCTGATTGGTGGAGTTGGCCCAATAGCCGTAGCGCCACCGTCCTGACGTCAGGAGAGTGTTCAAATCTGGATCAGTTTTTATCAGATCCGTTGCAGCCCCTTTTTTAGAGATTTGGGTATGGAGGAAAATAGAGAGGGTTGTGTTTTCTGACACTTGGTGAGTTCCCTGGAACACCGGGGACACATATTCATGTATAAAAGACGTACAAAAGTGCATTTTGCATGATAGGTCCCCTTTAAGCGTTCAAATTACAACTCAAGAGTGACAGTTAAACTCAGAGGTTGGTTCATGTGTGAATGATTTCAGAGACAGGGACTGAGCACCAAATACGATTGTTGCCTCTTTTTGAAGATGCAATATGTTGCAATCATTTGTACTTCTATATTTATCAAGTAATCAACAAAAGCAAATCCTCATCCTCTGCTGTTCTCTCCCCCCCACGCAGCGACCCCACTGACGGATGTTTTAACTACCCTCTGGTGGAGAAGTTTCTGATGACTAAGCGCTTCTCGCGCTCCATGCTGTTTTACTACCTGCTGTGCCGGGGGCTGACTCTGGTCACCCTGCTGTGTGCCTGTGTGTACCTGGGCTACTACCTGCGCCTGGCCTCAGTCACCGACGACTTTGGCTGCGAGCTGCGGGTGGGGCTGCTGGCCTCGGACCCGGCGGTCCCGGAGAAGGTGCAGTGTAAGCTGATTGCTGTGGGGGTCTTCTCTCTGCTCAGGTACGTGTCTGTGCAGTGCAGCTAATGAAACTAACAATTATCATAATGATATATGAATCGGCCCATTGTGACTGATTTGATACTTTTAGGGTGCAGTTTTATTTAAAATGTTTTTTTCTCCATTAACCGCAGTCTGTTTCCTTCCCTCTGCTTCCAGCCTGGTGAACTTGGTCCTGTTCATTGCACTGGTTCCCGCGGTGATCTATGCCAGTCTCCGCCCCCTCTTCTGCAATGGACATGCCCGCTTCCTGGAAACCTACCAATCACTGCCCACCGTGAGCATCCTGCCCGCCCCCAGCAGCCGCTGGGACGACCTCTCTCTGTATCTGCTCTTCCTGGAGGAGAACATCAGCGAACTCAAGTCCTACAAATACATCAAGGTCTGCAAGTGTGTGTGTTTCATTTCCATGTCCTCCAACAAGGCCACAAGGGCACCACGGCAGGGGAGCTATATATTGGTCACAGTATATAGCTGTAAAACAGTTACAGCTCGTGACACCACATGATGATTTATTACGATCAGAAGTCTCAGTTTATATCTGACTTTGGAGTATACAGCGATTCCCAGGGGCTACTTCTAATGCTGCCAGGTGTTCCTGGACTGTAGCTCTGCTAACTTCAACAAATTGAACCTCAGCACTTTGCTAGATGGCTCACTACCTTTTATAGACTCTCACAGAGAGGTCACAATAGTTTGCTTTAAACTGCCAATGGTTGAAATAGTGAAAGTAATGTGTAAAAGTGGCTCAGTCAGTAGGGGCTTGGACTGTGAGCCGTAGGGTTGCCGGTTCAAGTCCCCGACCAGACCTAAATATGGAGTGTGGACTGCTACTTGGAGAGGTCCCAGTTCCCCTCCTGCCCTGCCGGGGTGCCCTTGAGCAAGGCACCGGACAACCCACCCAAGTGTGTTGTTTTAATTGTGTTTTTATGAATTCTCTCTGTAAAGTGTCTTTGAGTAAGGTCAGTTCAAAACGTTAAAGGTAATAAATGTTATTTAAAGTGGACCTATCATGCTATATTATAATAATATAGTGTAGGACCATACCTATATAAGGCATATTTATACTTTTTTTTTTTCAAAATACCAAACAGATCATGCATTTTAGCCATGCCTCATTTTGCTCAATTTGACAATTTCTAGCTCTGTTTTAGCAAGGGCAGATTCAGTGAGAACAGCACTGGCCTGGCATATGTACGGCAATATGTACGGCAATGGCCGTGTCTGTCTCCTCCTGATTGGTGGAGTTGGCCCAATAGCCGTAGCGCCACCGTCCTGACGTCAGGACAGTGTTCAAATCTGGATCCGTTGCAGCCCCTTTTTTCGAGATTTGGGTATGGAGGAAAATAGAGAGGGTTGTGTTTTCTGACACTTGGTGAGTTCCCTGGAACACCGGGGACACATATTCATGTAGAAAAGACGTACAAAAGTGCATTTTGCCTGATAGGTCCCCTTTAAGGGATGAATGTTCAACATGCCTGGCACTGAGAGAGAGAGAGAGAGACCACACCACACCACACCACACCACACCACACCACACCACACCACACCACACCACACCACACCCCTTGACAATTCACGAGCGTCGAACTCCCCCCCCCCCCCCCCCCCCCCCCTCACACCTTAAAACAGAGCCCCCCCACATATCAAATCCCAATGTAACCCCTGCGTGTGCAGGTGCTGGAGTTGCTGAGGAGAGAGTGCTCCGGAGAGGACTTCGATGCCATGGGGCTGCTGCAGACTCTCTGCCTGGTGAAGATGGACACTGTGGATGGGAACAAGCAGGGGGGGTCTGCAGGCAAACGGGATGCAGTAAGGAACTCTGGCAGCAGCCCCTCAGCTGCCAACAGCTCCAGCTGTCCCAACTCCAACCCAGACCCCCACAGCAAGAGGGGGACCCAGATGAGAGGTGAGCACATTTAATCTAAAAGAACTCTTTTGTTTCGGGGTCATTTTCCATTTTTTGTTAATCTAAGTAAATTTGGAGGGAAGGTTTTAAAATGAGTTTAAAAACAGAACCGGTGCCCTTCGCCTGCAGGCCTGATGGCATTGTGTCATTAAATGATATTTCATCTAATAATACAAAATAAAGTTTGACTTTCAGTGTTTGACTTTAGGCTGTTTGTGCCGGCAGGGCTCAGAAAGGATTTGGATTTTTAGAAAAACCAATGGGCCATGTCCTATATTCTAAATGTTTGTTATGGTCTTGTTTTATGTAGGCTTTAGGAGAGTCACAAGCCTTCCTTACAGTTAGACATCACAACAAAACAACTCTACACAGGTTGATGCTGGGTAAAGCCAAACAATCACTTGTGATTTCTACATGAATAGTTCTGTCTGTTTCCAGTCTTTATGCTAAGCTAAGCTAACTGGCCTTAAGTTAGAGACTCACTCTGTACAGACTGTGAAGCCCTCTGGGAAGATGACTTGCCAAATAATTTAACTTGAATGAACCTAACACCAAAAGCCTAAATAATATTCAGTAACATGCAGCGATGTGTTTTCAGAGCTCACTCCTCTGCTGCCAGGAAACGACGTGACGGGGGGAGGCGGCCACCAGGGGGGGGGGGGCCACCAGGGGGGGGGCGACCACCAGGGGGGGGGCGACCACCAGGGGGGGGCTGTCCGCCAGCGAGCGCAGTGATGCTGCACTGAAATCATCAGCATCTCATCTTCTACCTTCAAAGGAAGAGTCGAGGCGTGTGATCCTCCTGTGGGGACAGCTTTCAGGAATCACTGAATTTGTCATTCAAACAATTTTGGAGTTTCAGGATAAAGCTCTACAGTACTAAGATGCCACTGTTCTGCCCTATGAATTGTGGGCAATTATGTCGTCAGACTAATTAATTAAGTAGCTATTGCTGCCAATTTGAAATGCCATGATGTCATATATATATGTTCATGTTAATTCAGATATTAGGTGCGTGTTTTTTTATGATCCTCTTAAATATTGCCTGTTGCTTCAAATGTTAATCACATGTCTGATATATTTCCTGACTACTTTAAATAAAGCCGGATAGTGAGTGTGCAGTAGAGCCGGCTGCCTTAACCTGCAGGATGTGTAGGACAGTTAGTGTCTAACACCATGCGTCAACTTTACATTCAAACTAAGAGTATGAAATGGTCTAAATTGCAGTTGTACAGTTCCCTTCAAAAAGAAGAGGTGATGTATTTATTTGCACTGTCATTGTGGGATTATGTACTTTTGATGAGATGGATGATCACATTTCAAGACTCTGGCGGTACTACAGAGGAACGCAGTGATGCAGCTTCATTTCAGAGGAGAGTTCTCAATGTTTTGTTTCTTTGAATAGTTTATTCAAAGAAGTTGTTTTACATGTCACGCTACAGCTAACAGCGGTACAAACACAAGCTTTGTGACATTTATCCATTTTTCAACAAGAATGCTTCAAATTGTTCATTCCTAATGTTTAAATGTCAATAAGTATAAGGCAACAGCACATCAAAGGTAAGAGCTCAAAGGATATTCAGATGGGGGCTTTATGTTGATCCATGGGAGTTTATTTATTCTTTTTAGATGTTTGGATGTCTCCACCTGGAATTGAACATGTACAGCTTGTTGGGGATCTCAGGGGCAGTCACATGACAGTTTACTCTTCTACTTTGAGCCTCTTCCACTGCTTGTATATATGAACTGCACTAAGTGGAACATTTTTTACATATCATGAAATTGCTGAGGTTATATCTCTCTTGTGTTTTTTGTATCACTTTTCTGCAGTTTTTTTTTTACATGATTGGGGTCCAATTTCTGTGCATTTGGCCATTTGAATGTGAAGTCGTGGAAAGATACTGATGCTTGTTGTTCTATGAGAAAACAGTGTTTCATTCCTGACTTTGATGCTGGAAACTGCTGTAGGTCATGTTTGAGATGCCATGAATGTTCATTGTGACACGTGTAGGACTGTCTGCAGTCTAAGAAATAAATATGGTAGATTTACTGCTGAGTCGTGTGATTACTGTATGGGTTTGACTGAGTGGACTTTACGCAGCGTCTGGATGAAGAGGATCAGATCGTATTCAGTGAAGTGGAGGATAACCTCCCAAATGTTTAGTGAGTTTATGATTCTAACAGACACATTCAGAGGAACTCTTCACAGGACAAAATATGTCAAAAAATGCTGGCAGTGCATTCAAGACATAACAAAAGTCAGCCTTATTATGCTATAATATTATAATGTTAGATTGTTCATTTTAATGCATTGAAATGTAATTGTCACAGCTGGTCAAGGTGAAGTTAATTTGAATAGTTTTATACTTTAGAACTGTATTATTATAAGCCAATCATTGCGTAGTAAATCTAAAACTAGACACAAACAAATATAAAGGAATAAAAAGTAGCCTACAATATTCCCTCTGAAATGTGGGGGAGAACAAATAGAAAGAAGCAGAAAATGCTATTCTAACAGAATGTTGTTCAAAGTTAGACTTATCACATTACAAAACACTCGTGAAGACATGGAATTGATTTACAAGTAAAAAAGCATTCCTAAGTGTCTTTCTAACATTTACAAGATTCGACCAGCCGTTTGTGAATCCACTTTTAATTGTGGATATATATTATATAAGTGAGTGGTGTTCCACTTTAACCCATAAGAACCCGGACCCATTTCTTACTTTTGGGGAAATTAAGGGGAACATCATTTAGACTAAATAGACCACCTAGAACACATCACCTGGGGCCTCAGTTGAGGCTCCCTCCGCAAGATGAGGCCCCCTCCGCGAGGTGAGGCCCCCTCCGCAAGATGAGGCCCCCTCCGCGAGGTGAGGCCCCCTCCGCGAGGTGAGGCCCCCTCCGCAAGATGAGGCCCCCTCCGCGAGGTGAGGCTCCCTCCGCGAGGTGAGGCTCCCTCCGCAAGATGAGGCCCCCTCCGCGAGATGAGGCCCCCTCCGCGAGATGAGGCCCCACGCAGTCTGCGTGATCTTCCTGTAGGGAGGGACGGCCCTGTGTATGTGCGACACAGGGCCAGAGAACAGAAATAACTCCCAGTCAGGGTTGCTTTCAGGCAGCAGAGTGTGTCTGTAGCAGGTGAGGAACTCTTATCAGTAACTAGGAGCTCCATATTGGTAATTCAACTGGTTTTCAACTGGGTCAGGAATTGGAGAATATTCAAATCAGTTGCGCTAATTATACTTAATTCTTGTAGGTCAGGTGTTTGTTCGAACGAGTAATAGGGGGAGTCACGGACATGAATTCATGGATCAAGGCAGGCTGGTTTACAGACTCCTGTTTTGACAATCCGGTGCTTAAACAAATAGCTTTACACCCCTGGCCGAAATGTCCCTAAAATGAAGTCCGAGTTCTAAATATATCTCAAATAATGTATGCACTGCCATTTCCCCACATAAACATAACAGTCTGCAATGGAACGGTTATCTCCTGCATGCTCCACTTCCAACTTGGCGGACCGGTAACTGGTAACCGAGAACGTACTGTGCATCGTGCGAACGAGATACTTTCTCTCTTTTTTTCTTTTCCATTAATCTTTAGGGGCTCTGTAGATGACAGAGAATTATATGCATGATCTTTGAATAAAGTGATCAGAGATGTTGATACTGTGATGGCGGGGCAACCAGCAGGAGACAGCTCAGGGAGCAGAGCTTTGTCGGGGGTTAAAAACTTGAATGGCCTTCAGTTTATCTGGAGAACTGCAGAAGTTTACTGCCACCACAGGCACTGTGTGGAGCTCCTGCGGGACAGACATGTCCCGCAGATTGTCTCTGTGGTGAATAGAACCGTCCTCCATAAGGGACTGTTGTTAAGAACACAGACAATCAGTTCGGCAAAATATGTTTGTCTTTTTTATTTGCCTGCTATGATGGTTCTTCAGGACTGCTTCTTGAGCTCAAATCACACTTTCGCAGACTTTTCTGGTGATTTTAAAGTAGATGACAATGTATGTGTGTCGATTAAGAGAAAAAGATGCCTGGTTTTCTTGTTATTACTGTCAGGAAATGTAAGACCTAACCCTGGTCCGCCCAGTAGTAGTAGTCAGATCGCTGATTTTAAAGCTAGGTTTGGGTTGGGTTTCATCCACTTGAATGTGCGCAGTCTTTTACCTAAACTAGATTTTGTCCGCATTTGGGCGAGCTCGACTGACGCTGACGTCATTGTGTTATCAATCTATTTTGGCCTCTGACATATCCTTAAATGGTTACAATGTATATCGTACCGACCAACTTAATAAAGGTGGTGGCGTTGCAATTTATGTGAAAAATAAGTTTTGTGTAACCAAGATGGTTTCCAAATCAATCGGTAAACAACTAGAATTTTTAGCCTTAAATATCGAAGTAGCAAAGGGTCAACAGGTCATGGTGGTGGGCTGTTACAGACCCCCCTCAGCTGTCAAGGACTCCTTGTCTTCGTTGGCAAAACTTTTATCTCAACTTGACTACAAGGAAATAGTGCTACTTGGAGATTTGAACTGGGACTGGTTAACTACAGTATCAGAGGATTTTAAAAACCTTTGTATCTCTTTAAATGTTACTCAGATTATAGACAGTCCTACTCGCCCTAACGTTAAGTCCCCTAATAAATCCTCCCTAATTGATCTCGTTCTAACTAATGTTCCCCATAAATACTCATCTGTGGGAGTATTTGCTAGTGATGTGAGTGACCACTGTGCTGTAGACACAATTAGGGACACTAAGGTCCAAAAGGGTAAACCTTGCATTGTCATAAAGAGAGACATAAAACATTTTGTGGAGCAGGGTTTTGTTCATGATCTTTGATTGAGGAAAAATCGATCTGTGTGCTGATGAACTGCATGGTCTTATTTTTATCTTGGTTTTATGGAGATCATAGATAGACATGCACCCCTACGTACATTTAGAGTAAAGGGACGAGACAATCCTTGGTTCTCTGCTGAACTGTCCAGTCTCCTGCATGAGAGAAACAAGGCCTGGGCAAAGGCTAGGAAATCAGGCTCAGAGGTAGAATGGCTGCGTTTTAGGCAGCTAAGAAATAGCTTCACTTCACATGTCAAAAGTGCTAAGTCGAAGTACTATTTGTCAGTTACTACAGAAAACCTAAATAATCCTAGAACATTTTGGAAAGCCATAAAATCGTTATCCACCGGTGAGATCCGAAATGAGCTACCTCCGTGCATTACCACAGCATCTGGCTCTATATCGGACAGGGCTACTATGTTCAATTGTTTTAATGAGCATTTTGTGTCCTGTGGCTCTCTGTTTGATTCTGTGACTAACTCTGCTTCTGTGAACACCACAGTCTGTGACTCTGAACAATGTGGTCTGGAAAACCCTTTCAGTTTTACTCCTTTTACTGTTGATGTTGTTCGTGGAACCTTTCTTTTTAAAGATAGCTGCAGATTTTATTGCTCCACCTCTTACTTCTCTTTTTAACCTCTCCCTCAGCACAAATGCAATTCCAAAAATATGGAAGTCAACGTATGTCCTGCCTTTACTAAAAGGAGGGGAGGCCACCTTATTAAATAACTATAGGCCAATCTCTAAATTGTCAGTTCTGGCTAAGGTTCTTGAACGCCTAGTGAGTGAACAAGTAAAGGTGTTTTTATGTAACAATGACATCCTGTCTAAATATCAGTCAGGTTTCAGAAAGAAACCTAGCACCATCACAATGAAAGTGGTGAATGACATTACGAGTATTTTAGATAAAAAGCAGAGTTGTGCAGCTCTATTTATTGATCTTTCCAAAGCGTTCGATACCGTCGATCATCGCATCTTAAAGCAGAGGCTACTCAGTATTGGCATATCCAGCCATGCAGTGGGGTGGTTCGTGAACTACCTCTCTGAAAGGTCCCAATGTGTTCACTTTGATGGGCTCACTTCTGAGTGGTTAAACATTGCTAATGGTGTTCCCCAAGGTTCTGCTTTAGGTCCACTTTTATTCTCCATATATATCAACAGTTTAGGTCAAAATGTGGATGAAGCTACTTTACATTTTAATGCGGATGATACCGTGATGTATTGTGCAGGTCCCTCCATTAAGGAGGCTGGTGTTAAATTACTGGCTGTTTTTAATATTATTCAGACTCAGCTCGCTGAGCTTAAGCTTCTTTTAAATGTTGAGAAAACCAAGTTAATGCTCTTTTCAAAAGCCAAAAAGACACCAGAGACTGCTTTGGATATTGTTACTATGCAAGGACAAGTACTTGAAGTGTTTACCTGTTACAAATACCTTGGTATCTGGCTTGATGATTGTCTCTCTTTTAAACTTCAGGTCAATAACCTGCTTAAAAAGCTGAGGGTTAGCCTAGGTTTCTTCTTCAGAAACAAGTCCTGTTTCTCACTTGAGGCCAGGAAAAGGCTAGTCACTGTGACCTTTTGACCTGTGCTGGACTATGGTGATCTGGTCTATATGAATGCACCTGCCCATTACCTGATCAAGTTAGATGCCGCCTATCACAGTGCGCTGAGATTTATTACGGGAGGTGTGTGGCGCAGTGGATAGAGCGTTGGATAGAGCGTTGGTGTTCGGATCAAGGGAGCACAGGTTCAAACCCCACTGCAGTCAGCATGTCGTTGTGTCCCTGGGCAAGACACTTCACCCCAAATTGCTCCTGTGGGGATTGCCCACAGTTTTGAGTATGTACGTCGCTATGGATAAAAGCGACTAACAAGTAACATGTAATGTAATGTCAGGGTTTCCCACACATAGACTATACTTGGGCGGGCCGCCCAGGTATATTAACGGCCGCCCAAGTATATTTCGCGACCCATTTAGGTTCTTTTTTTTATTTCTTTTTTATAATTCTTTTTTTTTGTATTCGTCCGCGACCACAACGCCATCTGCGATCGATTAACTTGTGGACAATGATCCCTCGCTCTACGCCTCCTGTACCCAGTCCCGGACTGGCCATCGGGAGGACCGGGGGGTTTCCCGATGGCCTGGCCTGTTAAGTGGCCTGCCTCACACAGGGTGACTGGCTGTCTACATGATGTGGCCTGCCGACATGGCCACTGTCATACAAATCATAAATCAAAGCCCTTGATTGGTCTCTTTGTGTCATTCAAGCTCGGGATAACCTCAGCTCAGGTGAGGTAACTTAAGGCCCTGACACACCAGGCCGAAATCGGCCGTTTTCGTTAGTCGGACGACGAAGCGTGCCCTGTCGCCCAAACTCAATTTTGTGTGTCCCGCACCGTCGGCCGTGACACGCCTTATTTGGCCTTTCATGGCCGACGCACAAAGAAATCATTCTGATTGGCTGTTCAGCTAGCGAATCAGTGCATGAGAAGCGAAACGGTTGCTTGAGAATGTCTTCCACAAGCAACACTCCAATGGCTGATAGCTCCAGTACCGCACCAAACATGTTTTCGATGGACGAGAGTGAAAATGGAACGCACACGCTATTTGTTGTTTGTTTAGATCACGCAGTCTGTTCTTCTTCTCTGTCTTCCGGTTGTTGCCTCTTTTGAATGACGAATACACACTACCGCCGCCTGCTGGTAAGGAGAGTTATTGCCACTCACGCATGCGCAGTTCGTACGTGCTCGGCTGAAGTCTTTGCGGTGTGTTCCAGTGCGACACATGGCCAAGACGCAGGAGAACACGGCGACGCAACAGTCGGCGTCGGCGTCGGCGAGTTCTCTGGTGACTGCCTGGTGTGTCAGGGCCTTTAGTCTAAGTTCTCAGTGGGTCTCAAACGGTTTGGTCACCCTTTATGTAAACACATATTTCCATTTGAGAGGGTAGTGATTAGTAAAATATGCATGAATAAATAAATAAAAAGTTAACTAGGTGAAAAAAGGTAAGATACGCTAAAACTAGTCTTTGCTGCTGCCTCAAAGAGGAGAAGGGAGGAGAGGAGGGAGACAGGAGAGGCTGATTCAGGAAAATAAATAAATAAACAAGTTTCAGTGTTTTTTTCATATTGGAAATGGTGTGTTTTTGGTTATGGCCATGATTTTATGATTATTGAAATGTATACAGTTCTGTTTCATATAGGTGTTCCCATAGATCTAGTCTCTTTATTTGCCCCTCAAAGTGCACCAGATTGATGCATTTAACTCCAAAATGTAAAAAATAATCTTACCGGGGGAGCATGCCCCCGGACCCCCCTAGAGGAGTTGAGGTCCACCCCCACTTAAAATCACATTGATAGGTTCCTAAATACATTTCCATTTTTTTTTAAATAGAAACCCATGTCGTAGAGTTAAACTATAGGGCTATCACTATGGGCCCTGCCTGTACCTGTTCGCTCTGCCATCGCGTGAAGGGTCTGCTAACAAGCGACCAACAGAAAGGTTAATGTTAATGTTGTTGCACGTCACCTCAACCCCAACCTCAACTGGGTTACTTAATGTTACTTCATGTTAAGGCTAATAAAAATGACAAGGCTAAGGCTGTAATGCTAACTAACGTGCTAGCTACTAGCTAGGTAGCTAACTTGATCCAGCCACTCCTGGTCCTTTCATCAGACGGGAAGCAAAAGAACGAGCAAGACCCATTGCTGGTATGATTACAACCTGGTACTAAGCACACAGGCATCTTGTTAAAGTTATCTTATCTTAGCTATCTCGTATTTAGTGGAGAAAAACAATTGTGACATCAGTTATGACATGACTTACTCTTACTCTGGGATTTGTAGTCTTTCTAGTTGCGTATTTTTCATAGTCTTATATTTCAACAGTTTTACGACAAACTGTGACTTTTTTGACATGGAAATAATTTTTTAAGATTGACAAACATCATATGTGTAATTCATGGCACAATTCAAACGGGATCGAAAGATACGTTTTCTCTCTCCATTGACTTCAATACATTATTTTTCAGAAATAAGGTCCCATGGACCGGAAGTAGATGGGCGTGACTTCGCCACAACAATTTGTATCGAAATAAATCAACATGGAACCAGTAATCACTAACTTTGTTTCCCCCGGCCCCTTATCGGAGAACACCCAGCTAGTAACCTAGCAACCAACCAAGCTTCAGCTAGCGGCAGTCAGAAACTCAGGTATCTTCTAATCTACTTTAAAATAAATATAGGGAAGTGTAAGTTCAACCGTATTTGGTTGAAAAACATCGAATTTAGTGCTTGGTTGAAACCAGTGGAGGGGAACGTGTTTGAAGCCCGCTGCACCTTTTGCAAACAAAATTAGCGTTTGTTTTGCTAATGCAGCGTTAGCTAGTGCAGCAGTCTACGTCAACCCTAAAAGCGGAGGTGCTGTGGACGCTAAATACCGTAGCTAAACACCAATCATACACCAGCATGAAGGCAGCAGAGCTCTGAATATAGCTCTTGTCACTCACTCACTCACTCACACACACACACACACACACACACACACACACACACACACACACACACACACACACACACACACACACACACACACACACACACACACACACACACACTTTTTGTCTAACACAGTTCTGTACTGTTATGCTGTTATGTTCAGTCATCGTTCTTATGTTGAACATGAATACATTTACTTTGTAAGTAATTATGGGACGTATTTCTTCTTTCATAGCAATTTTCCTTCATACTTTCTTGCCGTGAAATAGGTCTTAAATTCTATTCAAAGTGGTCTTAAAAAGGTCTTAAAAAGTCTTAAATTTGAGTTGGTGAAACCTGCAGGAACCCTGATAATGTACAGCAAACAATATTTGCACCGGGGCCAATCACAACCTTGTTACGCCACTGCTCATCACTGTACCCTGTATGCCAAGGCAGGTCTGCCATCACTCACTCACTGCTCAGTCATTGGTACATGTTCATCTATAAAGCCATGCTGGGTAAACTACCACCTTACATCTGCTCACTGATATCACAGAGAGTCGCAAGTAGTGTTGGAGTAGAACACTTTTCTGGTGGCTGAATAGCCCCCCCCCTCTCCGCGCCGTTCGTTGAATGAGGCTGGCCTCTATTAAATCAGAAAGGAATTGAAAACACCGGAATCAAAAGTTATAACAATTTTCTGAGTTTACTGGTAGGAAATAGAACAAGTATACAAGTTATACAGAGTACTCCTGGTACTCCGGGCTTTCAGATTTGTGATGCGATTCGGATAAATGCGTCGGGATCAAACCAACTCATCAAACCAAAAAGAAATTGGACTTCAGGTTTGTGATGCGATTCGGACACAGATATCGGGATCAAACCAACTCACCAAACCCAAAAGCATTTTTACACTCAAAAACATCAGTATTCATATCTGTCTTTGGGGCGGAGATTTGTCGACTCCTCCTTCCCATTTTCCTCCCAAGCGAATTAGAGAGCCCCTGGGGAGGAGCTGTTTAAACTGCTCACCTCCCCCAAGTGTCCTGATTGGCTGGATTCGCTTCTGGCCGAGGTCAATCAGAGTTCCGAACAGAGAGTGAGATCCCAAGCCACACCAGGTCAAAAGTCAATGTTTATCTTTACCTTATCTTACTCTACATTCCTTTCCCAGGGGATCTTTTCACCTAAACTATCCTCCTTCAGACATTCAAACTCTTCTCCACCTATTTAACGATGTCTTTAATGACTTAACAACAGCATCTGGCTTTTATGGATGATAAGAAGCGATGTTGGTGTGTTGGAACACAGAATCTCTGGATCAGTGAGTTTGAAAGTAAGAATAACATTCCTATTCTAAGTGACTTATCAAAACCCGTTTGTGATTACCTAAAACAGTTCAAACAATACATGTTCACTAAAATACAGTGTAGAATCATATCTTTTTACTTCAGTAGCTATTGCCTAAGATCCCAGGATGTGTTCTTATTACATGTACCAAGTGCTAGGACTGTTTTAGGCACTACAACTTTTATGTGCGCAGCCCCTCTAGCTTGGAACACTCTGCAAAACATTTTGAAAATGAGCATTTTGGTTCCCCTGCATCATTTTAAAGCACAGCTGGATGAAATGATTTGTCATACTCCTGGTACCTGTCTTTGTGAATAAGTTTGTAAATTGTACCCCTGTCATTATGTTGTATGTGTCCTTTTGTTGTATGTTACATGTGTAACCAATGTGCGGCAGGTCTCCCTTGTAAAAGAGATCGTTGATCTCAATGGGATTTTTAACCTGGATAAATAAAGGCTACAAACAAACCTTGAATCCACTCTGACCAACGCAAACAAACATCTGAGTTTAGTATAGCGCTTTTGGTTCCCTGTATATATTCATATTGGAACAATGGAATGGAACACAATTATGATGTTTTTGCCGACATATTGTTTTATCGTTTTACATTGGAGATTTGTAGAACTTTTACATTTTACTTTGCATTTTGCACATTAAATGCAGAAACATAATGCTGCATTCACTTGAGAAATAAAAATAATTGCCCTTATTGAAGAGAATACTTATGAAAGATTCTTATATAAGTCATAAAGAATAAGTAAGCTATACATTTCTATAAAACCTTCCTCACAGTTGGGAGTGTTCAGCAGCATGGGCTCTCTGCTCCCTTTCCTGGGGCCACATGAAGGTGCAGGGCTGCTCCTGCAGCTATAAGGACTGTAAGGTGTGGCCTGGAGGCAGCCGGGCCTGGGACTGGAGAGAGACCGGGACCAACGTGAGTGGAACCACAACCGCAGTGCCCACAAATACATATAGTTACATGTGACGCCGCCACAGCAAGCTGAGGTTTCCACTCAGGGACGGACTACTGAACAGGCCTCCTGGGTAAATCGCCAGAACGCCGACACCTCCTCATCTCCACCACTCCCATGTTTTATTTTGTGTTGCCATAAATTAGTCTCTCTGCGTTTCTGCGCTGGGCTAATGCTAATTCTAATAATGCTAATGCGAGGATAATAAAATGGCGGCTTCACAAAACTTTTTGGGAGTTTTACGGGGCGTGGTTTGCAATTCGCCCAGCCAATCAGACATAGGAACCTTTTTCTCCCACGAAAGTACCTGCTCTCTAGCAGGGACTGAAAAGGGGGGAAAAAGGTTCTGATGAACTAATTTGAGTTCCCGCTCTTTTTGGTGTGAACGCGACATTTCGGAACTATATCGGAACTAAAGTGGGAAAAGTACTGCGGTGTGAACACGGCTATAGACTGTATATATGACACAACAACCCCAAATAGCCGCAGGTGCTCGATATCTACACAACACCTACATCTACACAGTCTGTATCTGTCTGGAGGAGAGGTGGTGGGCCCTTCTGTCTCTTTTAATCTACCCATGACAGTGCTCACACATTATCCCCCCCACCCCCCACCCCAAGCATAATCCTGGAGTGCAGCCTGCCGATCTGGAGGAGGTGCTGAAGATAGGGGTCGACCTGCTGGTGATCGGCAGAGGCATGAGTGAAGCTCTGCAGGTAAACTGAGCCAACTGTCCGTCTGTTCACAGTGACTGAGGAGTCCCACTCGTCACCAGTGGTGTAAAGTAACTAAGTATATTTACTCATGTACTGCACATAAGTACAATTTTGAGATACTAGTACTTTACTTGAGTATTTTGTTTGCTACTTCGTACTTTCACCCCACTGCTAATCATGAGTTAAATCATTTTCTTTTACTCAAATACATTAATTTAATTTAATACCTTTAGTTACTTTATTTGGATGAATGATATGAAATATAATCAAGTGTTAAATCAGACTTTAGTTCCACCTGGAGTAAATCCACAAGCTACCCTGCAGTATACAAAGTCATTCAAACTAGCTGCACCTTTACCAGCTTTGAGAACACTTTCATGATCAATCATTATAAAACATATCATATATATTATTCTGAAATGGACCAATCTGCACAATGACTACTTTTACTGTCGCTACTTTAACTATATTTTGATGATAATACTTTTCTACTTTCACTTGAGTAACATTTTGAATGCAGGACTTTTACTTGTAACAGAGTATTACACTCCGCTACTTCTACTTTTACAACATCTGAGTACTTCTACTTGTACTCAAGTACGACATCTGAGTATTTCCACCTCGGGTGATCTCTTTCTTAATTTATCCTCAATATCCACTTAAGAAATCCTACTTCCTGTGCCTTCCTGTAATGGATAGTGTAGTGAGGTGAATCTGTGTCGGGGCTTAACTGTCTTCTATCATATAACTGGTAGGAGATGAGTTTTTATTATATGAATGAATTTCCTGTGAAATTGAGTGAATACAGGGGAGCATGAGGAAGATGCTGGAAGAGAGCCGTGTGTTCAATCTGTGTGTGTGTTCTCTCCTCAGGTTCCCTCCTCCACGCTGGATTTTGTGAGGCAGAAAGGTGTGGAGGTCAGAGTGCTTCAGACGCAGGAGGCCGTGGCTGAATACAACAAACTGGCAGGCCAGGGCGCCAAGGTGGGGGGGGTCTTCCCCTCCACCTGTTGATGATGTCACCTTTGCCTTACTGCACCAACTGAGAGGACACAGAAGGGCCTCATGTCTCTCCTGGAGCAGAAGTTCAATGATCCCTATAAAGATGGAAGGCCACTTCTGCTCCAGGAGAGACAGGAAGTCAGCCAGCATCCACGAGAAGAGAGGAAGCCCACACAGGAGAGACAGGGGGTGTTTCTCAATCTGCTGCAGAGCCACTATTTCAAGCTAGTGATGGGAATTCCGGCTCTTCTTGGTGAGCCGGATCATTTGGCTCGGCTCACCAAGAAGAGCCGGCTCTTTCGGCTCCCAAACGGCTCTTCAGTTTACCACATATTATACCTTTTATAATTCAATCAAATGTAGCCCTGTTTTGACTAATGATTTATATGTGTACACATATCACTTAAATTATTCAATACATCCTTTGTACTGAAGTATTCAAAAGTAAAAATTACATGTTTAATATCAATTATTTGCTGTGGCCAATTGTTTTCATTGCATTTACAGACCCTTGTATCTCTCTGATACCACCCAAAGAATGCACTGACTTGCTTGTAGAACCACGCTACACAAAGCAGATAGCAACACCTATAAAAAGCATAGACATTTAAAAAAAGGGGCTACTGTATCGACATTTTAAAATTATATTTAAAGAAAAGGCCCTGACAAAACAGCAGGGCTCTATTTCAGTATTAACTATAGAAAAAAGACAACAGCTGACATCAAATCTTTGCTGAGCCCAAGGATAATCATAAATAAATAACATAGTGAAAATAAATATATTGCAATGCTCAGTACAGCAGCATCCAACCGTCTCTAATCATAAAAAAACATAATACAAATAAATGTATTGCAATGCTCAAAACAGCAGCATCCAACAGTCTCTAATCCTTGGATATTACATGTCACTGCATGCATGCACGGAGCAGCTGTAGCGAGGAGATCATCATATCATTCTGTCTTGTATTACTTAACAAAAAAATAACAAAAACAAAAAAACGGCTCGTTCGCGCGTGCGAGCCGGCTCCCGTCGTTCATTTAAAAGAGCCGGCTCTTTGAGCCGGCTCGTTCGCGACCGACACATCACTATTTCAAGCACACTACGTCATCGAGTGCCGCCGAAGTACTGTTCCAATCTCCAGCATACTTGGAAATCTACCGAGCCCGGCGTACTTCGTGGCGAGAAATTTCGAGGCTGCACATATGTAGACTCCGCGGTCTTAAAATCCCCACAATGCTTTGCGCACGGACCAATTTCCCCAAATCTGCAATAGTATGAAGCTGCAGCGTCTGCACTCTCAGGACCGCACTCCCAGGACCCTAGTTGTTTTGCAACATCGCCACCTAGCGGATTGGATGACCGCAAAAGTAGACATTGTAATGCTTGTTATTAACCATCTAAAAATGCATGAAAATCGCAAAAGTAGACATTTACATGCATGAAAATATGTTTTTATTATTATTATTATATTTATTATTGTTTATTTTATTTATTTTTTACAACAACAATTTGTTGTTAATATGTTTTTGTTTTTTAATAACAAATGTATTTTGTATGTCAGATGTAAAAAGATAGTCTTTTATATTTGTCTTATCAAATTTGACATACAACGTAAATATATATATATATTGTAGTAATAATGATATCATCTATTTATAATTGTAAATGTATATTGTATGTAGACATACATTTATTATATATATTTTTTTATTGTATTACACGTTCGAAATAAATCAAATCAAATGTGTCTTTGAAGAGGTGCTAGATTACTGAAAAACAACTGTTAGTGTGTTTATGCACCAGGCTGCAAAAGATAAACATGCAATTTGACCGAGAGGCATTTCAGTGCAGAATACATTTATTGGGCACAATTTCCACACTGTGGATTCTTCAATCTGCTGTTGACCACCTTCTCCTGGGAGATATCCATTCTGGCACTCTGAACACTGCTGAAGGGTTCCCTCGAGCAAGCTTCTGGCCAGAGTCCAGAAGGCAAACCTTTGGCCATGCCTTTGAAACAATAAGAACAAGATGTAATCTAAAGTATTGCATAGGGAAAGGCTAAGGCATTGGTGCACAATTGATATGCATTAATAATCTCAACAGATATTGCCATCCAGAGTCTTACAGCTCTTGTTACTGATGGTCTACTGATCTGTAGATGGTTAACCTAATATAACTAACAGATGTTATATTGACATGCTACTGAGTTTGTTGAGAGATTGTAGATAATCTACAAGTGACCCTCAAAATAAAGTGTTACTGAAATGAAAACACACATATTGGCTTTCATACCCTTGTATTTCAACGTTGTGGAATTAGAGAAAAAGGGCTTCTTAACGTGCTTTTATCCGGGGTGGAGGGAGTTAAATATTAGTTAAATATAACATTGGGGCGTGTGATTGTAGTGGGTGGAGGTGGTGAAATGAGGATATCCATTTTGGAGTTCAAGCTAGTATAATATAGTTAACGTTACACAATAAGGAAGAGAGCTATTTTTGTGATACATCGCTATTGATATGGATTTAGAGTGCATATTTGAGACTTCCAAACAGTAAACAAAAACGTAACTTATGGGTGAGTGTTTTTAGCAGAGCCATATTTGTGATTCTGTTTCTTTCTTTCTTTAGCCTTTATTTAACCAGGTTAAAAAATCCCATTGAGATCAACGATCTCTTTTTCAAGGGAGACCTGCGGTACATTAGTTACACATAAAAACAACAGAAAACAAAAAGGACATCACAACATAATTACAGGGGTATACATTAGCAACCTATTCACAGTGACAGGTATCCAATAACATTTCATCCAGCCGTGCTTTAAAATGATGCAAGGGAATCAAAATGCTCAGTTTCAATGTTTTTTGCATAGTGTTCCAAGCTAGAGGAGCAGCGCACACAGTGGCGGCTGGTGGAAAATATTTTAGGTGGGGCTGTGGAAATGGTGATCAAACAATACTAGAGGGGTCTGGGGGGATGCTCCCCCGGTAATTTTTTTTGAGAAAAGACCCCTTAAATCATGACTTCTGGTGATGTTAGAGGGGGGGAGGGGGGGGGGGGGGGAAGAAGGACAATTTGAGGCTTAAAAATATGAGAAGACTGATCAATACCTCCATAACTTCAGTGTGGTTAGCTATGAATCTTCCAAAACTTCCAAACACCTTGTCCTGGACATAGTTTCTACAGCATAAACTGTGCAACAGTACAGTAGGCCCACACAAACTGCAGAACACCGGGGCTTTGGGAACACTGATTTAATTCCCATTTAACCTGTTAAGGGGCTTTTTTCCCCCGTTTTTTTTCTCACGAAACTGTGTCTCAGGGCTTCTTAAAATGTAATAAACTATTCATGTGTCCTACTCAGAGGAAACGCATCTAACTGATGATATGAACCATGTTTACCGAAACAAAACACAAGTCTCACAAGAAGCGTCTAAATGAGCCCTGAGCGAAAAAATGCTAACGCACTCTAGGTATAAATCAATCGATATACTTATCGGATATGCACAAACAAGTTTACAAGCTGAGATTCCACATATTCTAGAAATATAAGTATCATCACTGAGCGATCAGAACTCGCGACAGGGGAAGCAAATACAGACATCACATGACGTAGCTTTAGGTAGCAAAACATGGAGATATGCTCACCTTTTGCAGAATAACAATTCTGATCAAAAACGAGAAAAACGCAGCTGAAGGTTAATCCATAGGTTAATCCAATGTGTCTGTCACTTTGAAAAATGATTGATGATCCATAATTCCATTTTTATGTCAAAAACGGAGTTTTCATTAGCTGCTAATGGTAGCTTCCAGAGTGTATGACAGCTTCCTGTTTTGTCTCCTTGGATACGAGTCCAAACAACTCACAGACTGCACCGGGCGCTCACGTAGGAGCCCTGTGACCATCATATTTGACGACGCTGATTGGCTGAAATTATGTTTTCGCGGCATAGTTTACACGTTACAGATAGCAACAGTCAGCTGCTAGTGGCTGCTGCTGCACTGGTTGAGGGCTCCTCTCTTATGGCGCATTTCCACCACACGGTCGGCCTCGGCCACGCTCAGTACTGCTTGGCCGCATTGGGCCTTAACAGGGCCGGCTCACTTCATGCTGCGCTTCCATTACAGTTTAGGAACTGGGGTAGTTACTATAGTAACGCAGTGTAGGCGGAGCCGTGACGTCATCTTCATTGAGAACCCCAGAAAAACAACACAGCCGTTAGCTGTTAGCACTCGGAGCTCACAGCTCCTCATATATGTTCAGAAACTCGACAAAAGTTAAACAAGTACAAACCACAGACTGCCTGTGTCATGGTGAATACAGTCGCTGCTTTATTTATGTCTGTATAGGCCGTTGTTGTGAGTGTGGACGGTCGGAGCATATACTGCGTTAGCTTAGCCCATCTCCATTTAGAAAACACGCATTTTAAAAGGTTTTTCGCCTGCCGTCTGTCTGCAAACTTGCCAAAGCATTAATTCATGGTTTTTACTAACCGGTATCAGTATGTTGTTACTTCAGCATCATTTTGAAACGTGTATTACAATTAAATCACGGTCAAATATGTCCATCTTGTTGTAGTTGTAGCCCCCTTGCCAGCGATCCTCTCCCCCCGCTTCACTGTGAGCACAGGACAGGTCCAGAGTCAGATGGAAAAACTCCACCAAGGCAAGGCTGCTGGCCCTGATGGTATCAGCCCCAGGGTCCTGAGGACCTGTGCACGCCAGCTGGCTCCTGTTCTCCAGTATCTCTTCAACCTGAGCCTGCACCTGGAGACCATCCCGGTGCTGTGGAAGACATCCTGCGTTGTTCCGGTCCCTAAAAAGACGACTCCTTCTGGGCTCAATGACTATCGCCCTGTAGCACTCACATCTCATGTGATGAAGGTGCTTGAGAGACTGGTCTTGGCCCATCTCAGACCGCAGGTGAGATCATTCCTTGACCCTCTGCAATTTGCCTACCAGCCTCACCTGGGGGTGGACGATGCCATTATTTACCTGCTGCAGCGTGCTCA